CCAGCACCGTCATGCTTCAACACGCCACACTTTGCAGTTTGGTGCAGGCGACATTTCTTGAGCACCTCCAATTTTTTAATTAACCCTGCTGTTTATATCAATGCTTCTAGACTGTATAATAATGAATTCCTTGTGAAACATCTCAGGCAGGTCATTAATTGCTTTAAAGTACAATTTAATGCAATGCTTCATGGCAGGAAGTGAGTAAGATCATAAAGACCTTTATTGCTGAAAACCACACTTAATATTTTTATGGCCCAGTTGGCCTGACAAAGTATTCTCTGTGAGTCATCACTTCAAAGCAAGGCCCTGGGATTTATGAAAGACATAACAGCAGCCCAGGCCCATTGTAGAAAGGCCCGTGAACTTGAAATGCTCAGGCAAGACCTTTCTAGTACAAAGTAATGCATAAGAGAGCGACTACAAAATGGTCTCGGAAGACATGTTGACCAGGTGTATTTACTGCAAATCTTTCAATCACATGCATGCACACTGTACATACACATATGTGTTCCTGTGTTAATGCAAGTGGGAGGCTGGTGGTCAGTCTTCAGTGTTGTACCCCGGGAACTATCCCATTTGATATTTTGAGGCAAGAGTCTCTTGCAGGGGCCAGGGGTTCACTCCCTGACTCTGCCTCCCCAGCACTGGGATGACAAGCATTAGTTACATTCGTAGTTTTATACATGGGTGCTGAAGACTGAACACAAGTTTTCATGTTTGCGTGGCAAGTACTTTACGGACAGGAATATCAGCTCATTGGTTATATTTCTGGTGGCTTAGCTTTTGCACATTTTATTAGTAAAGTGAATGACTTAGGTGGTCCTGTTCCTTATAAGCTCCAGGGTGCAGAAGCCTCATGGTTTGCATGGACACCATTGTTGACGGCTCGGCTTTGCCACGTGCAGTGAAGTTCCCTGGTTATCTCACCTACAGCTTATCACCTGTTATTTGAAGGCCATTTCCCCTTTTCTTTCAGTTCAAAGGACCTGGATTCTCACGTCATGTAAGTTATTCACTGAGGTACTGGAGGTTGGCCAGTGGTGTAGAGCACTTGATGATCCTGTAGAAGACCAGGGTTCAGTGTCCAGCACCCATGTCATAGGGTGGCTCACAACCACCCAGAACTCCAGCTCTGGAGGCCCGTTATCTGCTTCAGATGTCTGTAGGTACCCACATGCAGTTGGGCACGCCAACACACACGGACACATGAGTAAAAGTAAACTGAACCTTAAAATAGTTATTTGTCGAGCATGTTTGGACGTGGGTGACTCTGTGGGACAGGCAGAGGCCTGACCCACAGAGCAAACGTGGTACTGCGGGCTGTCTCTGTGCTTTACGTTCTCACAGGTGAAACGACCTGCCAGCCTCTTCTGTTGTTCATCTCGAACCTCTCAAGCTTCCCAAAGCAAGCCAGTTATTAAAGCTAAGTGGCTACCACCTGGTTTCCATCATTCTCTGCCACGTTTCACTCCCATCTTCTAAAGGTGCACACATTTTCTTATTTTTCTTCTTCTTCATATTTCCTCAGAGAGAAAAGTGAATTGCCACAAACCATCACATTCACAGAGGCCTGGAATCGTGCATCTTATCTCTCTCACGGTAAGAGGTTTGTTTGTTTTTTTTGATTTTGTTTTGTTTTTTTTTGAGACATGTCTTACTATTTCAGGCTGGCTTTCAATTTATGAGCTACCTGCCCCAGTCCTCCTGAGTGCTAGGATTACAGGTGTGTGCCACCATGCCTGATGGAATAAAAACATTTGACAACAAATGCTGGACCTAATTTGAGCTGGGTTCGTGTACTCATCAACAAGCATTTAAGATTGTACATTTATTTGTAGACATGTTAGCTCTATACAAAAGTCCAAGAGAATGAGGGGAGGAACTCACTCATATTCTCAACAGCTGGGGTTAACTGCATTAAAATCTGAGCATGGATGCTCTGGTCTTATGATTAATGGAGACTTGCAGGAACAACTGTATTGGTTACTCTTGTTACTAGGACCAGATCTTGACAAGAAGCCTTGGAAGGGAGGGAGGGAGGGAGGACTTCTTTTGTCTTGTGGTTTAAGAAAGGATGCCTTCCATCATGCTGGGTGTCTCAGCTTTCTTCTGTTGCTGTGATAAACACCGTGACCAAAAGCAACCTGGGGAGGAAAGGGTTTATTTGACTTACACATTCTAACCACAGTTCATCACTGAGGAAGTCAGGACAGGAACTCGAGCAAGGCAGGAACCCGGAGACAGAACTGAAGCAGAGACCATGGAGGAACACTTACTTTCCTTACAACACCCCAGGACCACATGCCCAGGAGCGGTGCTACCCAAAGTGGGCTGGGCTCTCCCACATCAGTCATTAAACAAGAAAATTCCTCACAAAATTGCCTATAGTCCAATCTGATGGAGGTACTTTCTCAACTGACATTCCCTCTTCCCAGATGACCTGGCTTGTGTCTAGTTGACAAAAAACCAGCAGGACAGTGGATCAGACATGGTGTCAGGATGAAGCAGCCGATGGCATTCAGGAAGCAGAGAACAGACAGGAAGTGGGGCTAAGCCGTAACACTTCGAGGCTCATCCTCCAGTGACTTCCTCAGCAAGGCCCCACCTCCTAAAGGGTTCACAACCTTCCAGGACAGCAGTGTAGGCTGGGGACCAAGTGCTCAAACACCTGAGCCTGTGGGGACATTTCACATTCCAACTGTCACAAGCATTAAGCTCAACAACCAACACTGAGAGAGTTCAACAGCGCTGCACAACGTGCCCACTGGGTGCTTCACTGTATTCATGCCCTGGGGAGAGAGGCTGGTTTGTGTGGAACTTTCTCCAAGCACTGCACAGGGCACAGATGAATGTCTCACTGTAGTTCTTCTTACAGGGTCCTCTCATTCGGTACCCACTTGAGGGTCCTTACCATCCAGCCACAGAAGCTTGTCTGTGTACCCATGAGCACGACCCAGCAATGGCGCTTCTGTTATCTACAAAATATTTGGGTGTGGGTTTGGTGGTCAGACTCCCCTGAATTCAAAGGCTCTTGTGAACTGGAACTTGACCACAGATTATTAAAAAAACACACACACCACACACCCCCTGTAACACATACACATACACACTCCATTGGCTAAAATAATTAAAAGATATTGTAAATAAGTCAACGTTGACAGCAATTGCTCCTACGGGTCGGGGGACAACGTCAGGCACTGCCCCAATTTCTCCCTAAGTCATGTATCCCAGGAGTTTCCCAAGAAGCCTCTCGCGCAATTTGAACCTCTGGACGCCTCTTCCAGGAATCTCGTGTATCTGACTTCAGCCCTGGTAAGTGACCTTCTTCAGTAGTGTCTCAGGAGAGACTTTCTCCTGCCTGGACTCGGGCTGGGTGGCTGATTGCTACTACAGCCTGTCAGCCCTGAGTTCAGTATAGGACCAGACATGTTTGGTCTGCCTCTCCCGCTTTGCCCAAGTGGCAGCTACTCACAGAGCTGGTGGGCTGCTCACAGCAAGAGTCCTGATCGCAAGTCCTTGTTTGATTGCTGGCCAAGTGTTCCAAACAGCAGGCCTTTCACAGCTGGGGAAACCCCAGCCTGACCTGTTGGTCATGCCACACGGCCACATGTGGCTCCCCTCATGTCAACAGAACTGATAACCTAACCAAATGGAGCTGCTTGGCTCTCTGTCCGCAGTGGCCTTGCCAGCCCGCTACCCTCCAAGTACCAGTTAATAGGCAATGGTGGTGCTCTAACCAGAAGGCAGCAGTTGAGGGTTTGTTTACCACATAGTTAAGGGGCAAATACAACTTAATCACAAGGAAAACAGCTTTTATGAGAACCATGGTGAGCCGACAGCCTTATTAAAATCGTCAGAAAGTTGAAACCTAGACTTCCCTTCGATCTTGACCCTGTCATAGGAGAGGCGGGCAGGGACAGGTGGAGTGGCCTGTGGTTTTGCTTTTTTTTGTCTATTTGTATCTGCCAGGTTAAGTGGACATCTGCCTAAGCCCCATGTGCTCACGTGACCCTGCTAGGTTGGGCTGTGAGTGAGTGTGCAGAGAAACACAAGGTGTTTTTCTAGGAGGGTCTGCTGCATGCCAGGCAGTTTGCACCTGCCTGTGGAAGGCCCGTGTCCCTCCTTCACAAAGGAGGAAAGCCAACTGCATGCATGTGAATTAACTGATTATATTATGATTTGTAATAATTATATTATGGTTTGTAATAATCGGAGACAAAGGATGCATGGAATGTCTTGTTCTGCTGTCATAGAACAAGACAAAGAACCTGAGAAACTCCATAGCCGTGGGGTTAGGTTTCTGGTAGAGCCTCCAATCAGCTTGAAGGAAAATGTGAATATCAAGTTATTGAATTACTGGCCTAGAACCTACAGTCTGAAGTCCAGGGAATTTCTATGCGTGTGCTGAATCTGCTTATCTCTTAAACCACAGAGTGGCTGCAAATCAAACAGTTTTATAAGGTAGATTGCCAAATTACATCATCAGTTGAATTTGGAACTTCAGGAAGTTTCTTACTTGATAGATAGGTGTTTCTAATTATTGAGAATAGTAAGATCCAAGAACTGAAAGAGAAATTGGGATAGATTAAATGTCTAACCTCAACTAAATTCCATCTGTTAGCTACGGTAAGTCAAATAATACTCCAAACTTTCCCGTGTCCTAATTCTTGGAACCTGAAGACCCTTTGCTAATGTGACTAAGGTTGAGGTCCTTGAAGTGGGGAGAGAAAACTCTCAGTTACACAGGAAGCCCAATTTAATCCTGTGTGTTCCTAAAGGCAAAGAAAGGCATATGACTTTAGAGGAAAGTTAGAGATGAAGTGCTGTTGGCCCTGAAGATGGAGGAAAGAGCTACAGCCGAGGAGTGGGCCTGGCCGGCTAGAAGCTGGAAACAGCAAGGAAGCACCCTTTCCCAAGGGCTCATGACAAGGGCCCAAGAGTTTGGCCATAAATCATGCTTTCTTTTTTTCTTTTCTTTTTTTTTTTTTTTTTTTGTTTGTTTTTTCATGACAGAGTTTTTCTGTGAAACGGCTCTGGCTGTCCTAGAACTCACTTTGTAGACCAGGCTGGCCTCAAACTCACAGAGATCTGCTAACCTCTACCTCCTGAATGCTGAGATTAAAGGCGTGTGACACCAACACTAAGAGTTTGGGCATAAATCATGCTTTCTTGACCATGTAAATTTTCCTATGAGAAATAGGCTTAGACAAGTGACAGGGTTCTGATAGGGACTGGATGCCTCAGCATGGGGCAGTTGCTTGTAGTCTGTGCCGCCCTTTATGAAACAATCTTACTATCAAAAGAAGCATGTAGAAGCTGTCCACCATCAAAGGAGGCTTTAAAGGCAGGAATGAGTTTGAGTAGACCATGAAGACATGAGGGAATAGCATTCAGTGGGGCTTAACTTTTATTATGGTCTGCTCCTGTCCCATGACAACCAGTCCCTCAGTCTGCATCTGTGACACCTTCAGGTGTCAGGTGACACGGGAGAAAATATTTTACATCTGGTTTTAGGTGACTTTACCCAGTGTGCTGATATCAGGCAGAAGTAGAGTGTCACGGCATTGCAGCTCCCTGAGACTCTGAATGAGAGTGGATAAGAGAAACGCCAATACCTCTCTTGGGGGCAGAGTGTTGAACGATGTGCTTCACCCAATTTGTCTGGAAATTCAGATGGCTTTCAGGGAATATTTACACAAATCTGTGAAGGGAATAAGGAAGGCCCAGGATTTAGCTGGTGATCGAGACCATACGGAATGATAAATAGCTTTACCTGGACCAAGGTATAGAGGGGGATCTAGAAATATAGACTAACCATTAGAGCATGCAGTAGATTCAGTTCCCCCCATGGGACATTCTGGAAGTCAACTAGACACCTCTGGGTTACCACAGCCTTAGGGAAACTCAGTGGGCACCAGGTGTTTTCCTGCCAAGGGATCAGCACTCTACCAGAGTGTCCTTCCTCAGATTTGGCTGTGCTCTATCTAGGGGGCTCCTAGGGTGGCAGGAGAAGTCCTGATGAGCTTGCTGGAGAGCCTGCAGTCTAGTAAGAGACAGAATAAAGTGGTGATCTGGGGCCTTCAGGACAGGGGAAGCTAAGGCACAGAGAGCTGATGGCTCAGGGTGACTGCTGTTTTCAAACCAGTATGGACATGTTTCTTTATCCAGGCTTCCTGGTTTGTAATGGTTGAGAAGCAGCTCTGGGGGAAGGTTGTGCCTGGAACCCTTAGAATAGAGCCAGAGCATCTGCTATGATGAGAGAAATCCCTTAGCAAACAGAGGACTCAAGGATTAGGGCCGGAGCCATGTCAACTTTCTTTTCCATCTCCCCTGATGCTAACCCGATAGTCTCTTGAACTAAACAGTCAGGGAGGCAGTGATGGAGGATGCAGGTTAATCATGTATTCAACCAAATGGTCTTTCCTTCTCAGGCAGACCTGACTGGGCCACTTATGGCCACTGAGGTTGCCATAGAAACTAGTAGCCTTAAAACTGAGGTAAGGACTGCTAATTGAGAATTATATTTGACCCTGATGATGCTCAAGGCCTTGCTTGTTGTGAATAGTACTTTAACTATGTAAAGATGTGTTACATTTGTTTATACTGTGGAATATTACTCTAACTATGTGAAGGTGTGTGATATTCATTTCTGCTGCCTTTGTTAATGATGTAAAGATGTGTTACATTTGTTTATGCTTTATTGTTTAATTATGAAAAGATGTGTTGTTCTTTCACCTTGCCTGCTTAAGGCACCAATTTGGTCTAATAAAAAGCTGACTGGCCAATAGCTAGGCAGGAGAGGGCTAGAAGGGGCTGGCGGGCAGAGAGAATAAGTAGGAGGAGAAATCTAGGCTCGAGAGAAGAAGGAAGAGAGAACAAGGGAGAAAGAGAGGGAGGTGCCCGTGGCCACCATGAGAAGCAGTGAAAGTAAGATGTACAGAAATAAGAAAGGTAAAAAGCCCTGAGGCAAAACATAAAGAGAGACGGGTTAATTTAAGTTAAAAGAGCTAGCCAGAAACGAGCCTGAGCTAGGCCGAGCATTCATAATGAGAAATGTCTGATTCATGATTTGGGAGTCGGTTGATGGCTCAAAAGAAAATGCCTGGCACACTCACTTATTGCACTAAGATCTCAAGCAGGCCGAGCTATATATGGCTGCTGTCCTGGTGGCGAGGTAGGTCTGACAGGGAACTTCCCACACTGCGCATTCGGTTCTGGGAGTGAACCCAGCGCCTTGCTGTGCCTTTTGCTCGGGGTCTGGTGGTTCTGTGGAAAAGCAAAGTGAGGGAAGATGGCTGAGAGCCACTTGCGTGTTGACATTAAACCAGAACCTACAGACATGGCTCCGCTCAACTGGAATCCAAAATAAGAGGGATCATGCCTATAATCCCAGTACTTGGGAGGCTGAGGTAGGCTTGCCATGAGTTCAAGGCCAGGCTGGGCTACCTAGACAAGGTCTCAATAAAACAAAACAGTGAAGGCAAGACTTTTGACTCAAATCAGGGATAGAACAAATGATGGAACTTGACAGGTTGACTTGAATAAACTTGTCAGGAGCCCTGTTCAACTATTAAGAACTGGGGCTGGAGAGGTGGATCAGTGGTTAGAGCACTGACTGCTCTTGCAGGGGACCTAGGTTCAATCCCTAGCACTTGCATGGTGGCTCACAACCATCTGTAACTCCAACCTCAGGGGACCTAACATTCTCTTCTGAGCTCCTCAGGTACTGCATTCACATCATGCACAGACATGCAAGTGAAACACTCATACACAAAATAAAATGAGAAATGAGTGTAAACTTCCCTTTGAGGGCAAAGAAAACTCACTGAAAGATTTTAGCAAATGATAAATATAATAAGGTGAAATCTTCAAAAACCATCCTTTTGGCGTCTGTAGACAATAGTTTAGAGAAAAAAAGAGAAGGAGCTAGGAGAGCATCAGGGAGGATGCAGCAGCAGTCAGGTCTGAAGTGGCAGAGAATCTGGAGAAGGCGGGATGGACTTAAAAGTGCTTGGAGGGAGATGGTACAGAACGGGTGACTGGACTGGTTGGGAGCAAGGTTCCTTGGAAGTTTCTAACTTGAGTGTGTAGATGAATGTTTCTGACACTGAGTTAGTGGAGACAAGAGGAAAAAGCAGGTTTGGGAGGAAGAGTGGTTAAGGTGTGCTGAGCAGGAGATGCTCTCAGTTGAGTGGAGATGGCGTCCATGAAGCCCCTGGAAACAGGAATCACCATGAGTCAAGGATTCAACTAAGTGGTTTAGACAGGCAAAAGGTGATTTGGAAGTTGTTGGGAAGCTAAGCAGAGAACAAACTGAGTGTGATGGTTCATATCCGTAATCTTAGCACTTCAGAGACTGAGGCAGGAGGATGGCTGACAGTGTGAAGTCAGCTTGAACTATATAGTGAGCTTCAGCTCAGCCTGGTCTACAGAGAGCGAGCCTGTTTCAAAACAACAGTGACCAGAGCAACAAGGGCAGGATAAACCAACCAACCAAAACGCCCAAGCAAGTAGAAATCACTGTCAAGAAGAATGAAAAATAAAAAATAGAAACGTCTTACAGGGCTCTTCTGGTAGTCCTTTCCAACTTGACATAAGCTGGAATCATTTGGGAAGAGGGAGCATCAACTGAGGGATGACCTCCATCAGATTAGCCAATAGGCTTATCTGTGGGAGCATTCTTCTTGTTAATGATTGATGTGGGAGGGCCTACTCCACTGTGGTAGTGACACTCCTGGGCCGGCGGTCTTGGGAGGTATAAGAACAGCAGCTGAACATAAGCCTAGAGAGCAAGCCAGGAAGAAGGTTCCTATATGGTGTCTGCTTCAGTCCCTGCCTTGACGTCCCCTCGTGATAGACGGTAAGCTGCAAGATTAAATGACTCCTTTACTTCCTGAGTTGATTTTGGGTATGGCTTATCATGGCGATGAAAGGCACCAGGACAGGTTTAGAGACCCTCGATTGATATGAACCACTGACTGGTTAGGACTTGCTGTGGCTTCTCAGTACATTGTGGGCTTTCCATACACCCTTGCCTCTCTGTATCTCCTCAACACTCTCTGGTCCAGGACATGGCATTCATAGAGGCCAGTGACTGTGCCCCTCCCTATGCCAGAAGGATGGCCAGGCGTACCCCAGAGCTAGCGTCTCCTGAGCACCCTAGGGCTCCATGTATGAATTCTGTTTGATGTGTGATCCTACATCCCAGAACTACCTGGCAGGGCTTTATGGCTTGGGGAGTAAGCTGCTGGAGAAGGCACTCTTGCTGTGTGTACTTCCTTTTTCATTCCCATCGCCCAGCTCTTCCTATTCCCTCCCAAATGAACTACTTCAACCCAAATTGCTGCCTCGGGTTCTGCTTCAAGGTGAATCTGCATTAAGTCAGCTTTCTTGTTCATCCATTTGAAATGTACAAACTGCTTCTATCTTTTTCTCTGATGCAGAAAACACCAAGGCCTGGAGACACCTGCAGAAAAAGTCCCTCATCTGTGCCTGGAAACAGGTGTAACAATAAGTGTTTTTTGTATTTACTAATCTTCCCTTCTCAGGACTTCAAAGTGTTTCTCATGTGTCCCCCGTGGGCAAGTGCAGGGCCGGCATCTTGTAGAGAAGTCAACTATGTGAACTGTAAATTATGTGAAATGAAGCTTTCAAGACCATCTGTTTCTAACTCTAGTGGCCTCTCACCCTTCTCTCTTGAGCTTCGGAACACAGGCCCCTCTCTGCCAACCATTCCTGTTCTCTCCTGTCTGACTTCTTCCCTCAGTGGCTCCTTCTTAACCACCCAGCTGAAGGGATAGTGAGTCCTATATTCATATGACAGTTTCCCCCAGAAATGTTGGCATTTCCAAAGGTTCACAAAAGCAGAAAAATCCCCTGAATAAAAGCCAGTAACAAGCCTTTAGTCGTGTGAGAACATTAGTCAAAGTAAGTTTTAAGTCCTTCATTCATCTTTGTGATTTCCAGTCGACTGGTGCAGGGCTTTCAAGAGGAAAAATGTAGAAGGTTCAGGGAGCATCTGCCAGTCCTGTTTAAGGGACATTTGAAAGGCAAGACCAGGGAGCTGGGGAGAAGGCTCAGTTAGTACAGTGCCTGTTATGCAAGTGTGAGGATCAGATCCCCAGTGCCCGCTGAAAAAGCCAGGCATGGTGGCCATTCTCCATAACTCTAGTGCTGATGGGTCGGGAAGACAAAGACAGGGGGTTCTCTGAGCCCACTGACCAGCTACTTGGCGAGCTCTGGGATTAATGGGGTCCCTGTCCCAAAGAATAAAATGAAGGGTGATAGAGGAAGACACCCAGTGTTGGTGTGTCTTCTTATACACACACACACACACACACACACACACACACACACACACACACACACACACACACACGGGGGAGGGGGGGAGGAATCAATTTTTTTTGAATTTCGTGCAACACGTTCCAAACATTTGATTACCCAGTGAGTCAAATGTGTGCATTTCAATTAAGCTTCATAGAATAGAGTGGTCCTATCTTTGTCTGGTCAAGTATACCTCATGACTTTCTATGGATGTCTGAAACTGGAGGTTAGCATCAAATGCAATGTAAGATTTATTATCTATTCTCTCTCTCTCTCTCTCTCTCTCTCTCTCTCTCTCTCTCTCTCTCTCTCTCATCTCTCATCTCTCTATTTATTGAGACAAGGTCTCTATGTATGTATGTATGTATGTATGTATGTATGTATGTATGTCTGTCCCTGGTGTACTGGAACTCACTATGTAGACCAGGCTGGCCTTGGAACTCAGAGATCCGTCTGACAGACTATTTTTTTCTAAAAACATACACAGATGCGATGCCTTTTCCACATTAAATAAACATTAAGGGCCGGGCGGTGGTGGCGCACGCCTTTAATCCCAGCACTCGGGAGGCAGAGCCAGGTGGATCTCTGTGAGTTCGAGGCCAGCCTGGGCTACCAAGTGAGTTCCAGGACAGGCACAAAGCTACACAGAGAAACCCTGTCTCGAAAAACCAAAAAATAAATAAATAAATAAATAAATAAATAAACATTAAATGTGCACCATGGCTGTACCTTTGGCAATTTGAGATGTGATGGCAAAACTACCATGAATCTCGTTTTTTTTTCAGAGAATATTCTTTTCCACAGATCTGAGTTATGTCATCAGTCAGTCAAGAACTTTTGCCTTTTCAACTAAATGAGGCCTTGCTCAACTTACCCTGAGCATGTCTGAACTATCCCTACCCCTGTGCTCTGGGGTCATGTTTACTAAGGTAAGCGCAACTCACACATAGGTACCACCACAGTTGATCTGCTCACCAAGGCAGCCACTGAGTGACTAAAGGCAGGCAGGACCTGTCGGGTAGGGGTGGGGGCAGGCACACTGATTAAAGAATGATTCACCAGATGGAGGGAGAGATCATCATAGATGCTGCTTAACAGCCATGAATTGTTTACTTCTGGGATTTTCTATTTAATGTCTTTGGACCGTGACTGACCACTGAGGCTAGAGAGGGTATGGTCAGGAAGAAGTGTTGCATGTGCTGTGTGAAGATCACTCCTGGGGTAGGTGCAGGATGTAGAGGAGAACACAGAAGACTGGGGAGTTGCATATCCTCACAAAGCTATGAGTTTCACTTCAGATCTTAGCTGAGGTACTATGACATCTATCTGTGAAATGGGCCCCACAGTTTGCCTGTAAGATGTAGGGTTTGGGGTCCACTGGGAGTGCAAATGTTCTGCCTGAATTAAGGAAGACACTATGCTTCCTTTTAGGAGGGCTTAAAAATGGCGTCTCTGGTCCTGGATTTTGAAGTTCTGTTTCTTTAAGAGGAACTGAGTTTTGGACATTCATGTGTGGTTAAGCCTAAACTCAGACGAGAAGAATGTAATAAGCATAAAAGCTAAAAGACCCTTCTGTGGCTTCTTTTTAAAAGTAATAGGGAGAGGTTGTCACATTCTCTCCAAATATGTCTCCATTAAAAATATATTCCATCAAAGAATGGTACTGAGCCAGCAGGGGTGGCATCTGTTTGTCATCTCAGCACTTCAGAGATGGAGACAAGAGGATCAGACAGTCAAGGCCATCCTCAGCTACATGGTGAAGTTTGAGACCAGCCTGAGCTACACGAGCTTGTCTCAAAAGAGAAAAAGGGGCCTGAGGAGATGTGGGTAAAGGGCTTGCCATGAAAGGCAAGGACACACATCTGAGGTTATCTTACACACATGAGCATAGCATGTGCATGTGTACACACACACACACACACACACACACACACACACACACACACACAACACATACACAAGAAAAGGATGGTGTGGTAGTGCCTGCCTTTAATTCCAGTACTCAACAGGCAGAGACAGGCAGATCTTTGTGAGTTCAAGGTGCCCTGGTCTACATAGAGAGTTCTAGGACATTCAGGGCTACACAGAGAGACCCTGTCTCAAAAACAACAGAAAGAAAACCTGAAGTGATGCTGATTGAAACACAGTAAGATTGACTTTTTCCTACCCCTCTGGAAATGTGAAATATCAAGAGTGCAGACAAAAATGATTGTGCCTGCAGCTCTGTTACATGAACAGCTCACTTCAAACCCAAGTGGGAATTCCCCTGCCTAGGGAAGCAAGCTCCTGTCTATGCAGGGCTCGGGGAAACTTGGTGTTCAAGGCAAACATAAACTGCTCAAACCTGGAACAAATGCTTGGTTTGTCCAGTGCCCCCCAAATATTCCCAGCTGAAGATGTATCAACAAAGTGTTCAAAGGCCAGCAAAGCAGTCACCTTGTACCAGGGCTTTCTGTACCCTCAGGACCTTCCCTGACCAAACTGAATCAAATCCTAAAGGAAAAAAAGTACCCTGCCCCCAATCCTAGTGACCATAATGACTATTTCCATAAAGACATCCAGATGTTTAATTTTTTTTCCAAAAGAAATTTTAACAAAACCCAAACAAAAGCAACTATGGAAGGATCATTTTTCCATTGACTTTTTAACCCAAGTGCGGTTGGTTGGGCCAGCTGAAACCACAGATATAGTTCCCCGACCACTCATCCTCTGTCTCGACCCCTTCCCTGACACAGGTGTCTTCTGCCCCACAGGGCTGCTGGCTGGACACTCATGAACACAGCGCTGATGACTGGGACTTCGCCAGACTTTCTCTCCAGCCCTCTGGGCCTGGTCATATGCACAAGCAGGCTTCATCAATGCTTCCCTGTCAGTGAGGAAATCCCCTCAACTGATGGCCTGCAGACGGGAAAGCATCGTCAGAGGGAATGGGAGTCACACAGGCATGGAGCCATTCCTTCTTGAGAGTGAAGGCTCTGAGCAGATGAGAACACACTAGCTTCACTGACCAGGGTAGGAAGCAGTCATTTAAAATAGCTCTGGCCAGTCATAAAGCCATGCGTAGGAACTGTTTACTCCTCTCTCTGAGATCCCCTAAGCCTAAGCTCAGGAGGTGTGCCTCTCTAGAAGTTTCTAAATGTTCTCCTGATTTTTACTAAGATAAAGTTCTGTGGGAACAGTGGAGATGACAGGCTCCTCTGTGAGCAGGGGGATGCTTGAATGCCTACCTGGGCCTTCCCACCTTGGTCAAGCACCGTTGAAGTGAGATCCCTGTGTGTGTCCATCCCATAGCTTGTTTGGTTAATGCACTGGCTCGTAACGAAAATGCCAACTTAACCACCAGTTTGTTTTGGTGGTGTTTGGTTTATACATAAACATGAGTGGGAAAGGACCAACATTTTTTTAAGTACAAATTTTATTTTTATTATGGCTGCTTTGCTTTTTGTTTCAAAGGGATGGCAGGGATTCAGGGTACCACAGCTGTACACAGCCCAGCTGGAAGGCCCCGGGTTTTGAACTTCAATTTCTTAAAAAAGGGGTTGTGTGTTGAACATTCAAGCGTTGTTAGCCATCTCTATTTTATTTTCCCTGAAGCTCCCTGTGGAGAAGAATCCAAGACCACCTCCAGCTCAGACAGTTGGGGAAGGTGAGGCTGAGGAATTTCAGGAGTGGTTTAGACGAGGGTGCTTCAGGAGGAGTTGAGTCGTGTCTTAGTCCATTGTATATGATTGTGAGAGAATGCCCTGGGCTGAGTCAGTTATAAACAATAGAAATTCATTCAGCTCAAGGTGGCAGTCAGAGGACAACTTTCAGGAGCCAGTTCTCTCCTGCTATCTTGACTCCAGGGGGTTGAACTCAGGTCATCAGGCTTGGTGGCAGGTGCCTTTACCTGCTGAGCCTTCTCACTGTCCTCTGAGATGCTATTTTATTTCATTTGGTTCTTTTTTTGGTACAGCTACTCATTTTTGATGGGTTTTCTTGCTGTCACGATGTGAAGGAAGGCACATATAGAGAGCTCAAGAACTGGTTCAGGTCTCTCTCCTTATAAAGCCACTAATCTCATCACAGGGGCCTTGCCTCTAGACACTGCTATACTATTAATGCGAATGTTGGGATTAAATGTCTAGCCCATGAACTTTCATGGGGCACATGCAGATCCTGCCAGAACACCACCCACTAGACCCCTACGTGCTCTGATTATCCAGGGCTCATTGGAATTTTGTGTGTGTTCCTCCTGGCTTCACCGTACTTCATGTGCTCCATCTCTAAGACAAATGGCTCTGTGCAGCCTGGACTAGCTTCTTATGTCTGTCAAAGTAGAGTGGAATATCCTGAAAATCTGGTGTATATAAAGCAAGCACAAGATAATGTCAATGGTTTTTAAGTCTTCCTTAGGAAAAAACTAAAAACATATTACTTCCTAAGGACATTTTCTTTTTTTTTTTTTATAAAGATCAGATATGAAAGCCTAACCCAGTTAAAAATCCCCAATGTGGACCTGAAACAAAATGTAAGATTTTGAAGACTGTCTTTCATGGCACCATTAAATCTTTCAAGGGAGGGAAGCAACCAATAGTCCTTCCCAACTATGATGCCTATGAACCAAAATAATGACCAGCATGGGATTATATCCTTAAGGGTACAATTGTGGTATGCCTTCCTTGGTGGTTTCCAACAGCTCTTAATTGGACTAAAGGCCCACACAACAAGAGGGAAACCATGCCTGAAACTGGACCTAGCCAACTACCAAAATGATTGTGTGGTAGCGAGACCCAACTGATACATCTAAAACAGAACTCCTGTACCTAAGGCTCAGTGATCATAGTAGAAGGAGGAGTGGGAAGATTGTAAGAGCTAGAGGAACAGGAAGTTTGTTGTGAGATTTTGTCTCCTAGGAATGCCAGAAAAGCTATACCCATAAAGTCTCATCCACACAGCACCAATGGACAAAATAACAGGGAAGGGAAACATCTCATGGAACCTCAGCTCAATGCAAAGAACTATGGGCAACCAAGGAATGCTGGAAACAGGAAAAATAGTCTTCCCCAGGGAAGAGTGTCCAAATTGGTTTTCCAATACCAAGTGGTCAGCCTTGAAGTCATATACATAAAAATAACATTATACAGACTGAATAGGCTCTATTTCTGTATTTATGAATATATATATACATATATTCATACACACACATATATGAAACTACTATTAAAGAAATTTAAAGAATATATATAAATTAAAGGATATATAAATATATATTAAATTCCATATATATATATATATATATGCCATGAAATTAAGAAAAAGCAAGGGGGAGGGGTACATGGAAAGCACTGGAGAGAGGAAAGGAAATGGGCAAATGATGTAATTATATTTTAATTGCAAAAATACTTTTTAAAAATGTGAGATATGGCCGGGCGGTGGTGGCGCACGCCTTTAATCCCAGCACTCGGGAGGCAGAGCCAGGCGGATCTCTGTGAGTTCGAGGCCAGCCTGGTCTACAGCGGGAGATCCAGGAAAGGCACAAAGCTACACAGAGAAACCCTGTCTCGAAAAACCAAAAAAAAAAAAAAAAAAAAAAAAAAAAAAAGAAAAATGTGAGATATGTTTAAGAGGCATTGAATTCTCTTCCTTAGTTTGTGTTCATTTAAATGATACATAATATTTTCAAATTATACATTTAGACGGGGTCTCACTATGAAGACCTGGCTGGCCAGAAACATAGGAAGGTATGTTGACCAATCTGGCCTTAGATTTACAGAGGTTCTCCTGTCTTTGCCTCGAGTGCTGGGATTGAAGATGTGTCCCTCCATTCTGGCTGGTTTAAAATGCTTACATCACTTTTATCTTGTGGGTCTGGAGACTGAATCCAGAGCGATCTACCTTGCTCTTGACAGACAAATCTGTATCATGGATGCATCACCATCCCCTATGCCAGCTTTTATCAAATTAAAACCCAGTGTGCTCTTGAGTGAAGGTGGTCACTCTATAGCAAAGCTCAGCCTATGAAGATATAGTCGGTTCAGATGAAATGAGTAGACACTTTTTAGAGGATTAGTTTTCCAAAATGATTTCTATTGCTTCTTCTAAGAGAACAAGAGCTCTAGTTTCTTTGGGTCCAAGAGCAGCCATTTCTTCTTCTTACCCCCCTTCCATGCTTCCCCTCTTTAACTATTGGATTTAAATCTAATATTTTAAGCTTGATACTTAAAAGCATAAAAGTCACATATTTATAGGGTAACAGGTGATGTTTCAACTCAAGTCTAGGATTTTTTAAAAATTTCTTTAAACTTTATTATTGTGTGTTCATGTATGATATGTTGTGTGAGTGTGCTGTCCTACATGGAACTTAGGAGACAACTTTGTGGAATTGGTTCTCTTTCTGCCTTTATGTGGGTTCCAGAATTTAACTCAGGCCATCAGGCTTTCCCATTGAGCTACCTCGCTGGCTCCAAGTCTAGGCTATTTCTTGATTATAGGTTCTCTACATGAGTTAAGGAAGGGTTTTTAAACCTGGGTGTGACATTTTCTGAAGAAGGCAAGTCTGAGAAAGGCTTTCCTAGTGGGTTCTCCATTTTAAGGGAGAAACCTATGTGCACAGGAATAATTTGAAAACCACAGAGTTTTGACTAGAACAACTCTAAAACAGAATACAGAACAGAATTAAAAACTCTCCCGAGCTGGTGAGACGGTGATGTCAGAAGCGTTTCACAGAGTGGCAGTGGTTTTGGGTGTGGTCCTATGGGGTGCCGGTCAGCACCTCAACTTGATATGAGTACTTTCAAAGTTATTTCTAGGAAAGCAGATTGGAAAATTGATTAAGCAAGAGTAAGAGAAGATGAGAAAAGTGACCAAAAGATTAGGGGAAGGAAGAGGCGTTCCTTCAGGAGAAAAACATATCACAGGAGACAGTGTTTTGGTAGGAGTCCAGGCAAGCTTCTAGAATAGATGACTTTCATTCTCCTATTATTGTGGATTCCTAGAAGGTGTGGACTATCTGGAGACAGTGCTAGGAGCCTGAAGTTAGGCTAGTCAGTAACACCCCTGGGAAGGCGTGAGAGTTTTGATTTCTGTTTTTTAGACTTTTTATTTTATTTTAGTGTGTGTGTGTGTGTGTATATGTGTGTGTGTGTGTGTGAATGAATGCATTGTGGTGCATGTGTGGAAATTGGAGGACAATCTGCAGGCATGGGTTCTATGCATCTATCATGTGGGTTCTGGGAACCAAACTCAAATTGTCAGGCTTGGAGGCAAGTTCCTTTACTCACTGAGCCACCTCTCTGATCTGTAAATTTTTATTTTCTTTCATTTGACTCTTCTTTGGTAGAGTTGTTTATTTTTTACATGCAAAGAGTTATATTTTATAACATAAATTAATGAGTTGGGAGAGAAGAATGCACTCAGGAAACCACTGCGATTATCTACACCAGGAACAAACGCACTGTTACCTCTAACGCTGTTCTCTAGTTATTATCATTTATGGTAAGGACACTCCCCACAAAGTCTATCCTCTCAGGCAGTTTCTAAGTGTGTGAGCTAGATTTGCTGACTCCAGGCAGTTTATAATGCAGATTTCTAGAATGCATTCATCTATATAGCTGAGAGCTCATTCTTCTGGGCTTTAGTATGTCCCCATTCTCTCTCTCTGCAGCCTCTGGCAGCCACCATCCTATTCTGGGTTTTGTTGATATTTAAAAGACATTTTATTTTTATTTATGTGTATAGTGTTTGCCTGCGTATAGTTATGTGCTCTGTGCTTGTGCAGTACCCTCAGAGGCCGGAAGAGGGCATCAAACTCCTGGAACTAGATTTACTGATGCCTGTGAGCGGCCATGAGGGAGCTGGGGACCAAATTTGGGTCCTCTGCAAGAGCAGCCAGTGTTTCCAACTGCTAAGCCATCTCTCCAGGCCTCATTTGACTTTTATAGAGCATTTTCTCTCCATTACAGACTGGGAACTCTGTCAAGCCACGAGAAATGCCAGGTGGAGATCTGGATAGCACTTTTGCCTAACCACCAGCAGCTGACTAAACCTTGAAGGTGGAGCTTAGAGGTGCTGATTCATGGATGCATTTATGAGTTTTTATATTTGTAGAAATTTTCTTTCTGATATGAATATATTAATTTCAAATTATTTTATCTACCAGTGGCATTACTAATTCTGACTGTAATATGTACATTTTACCTTATGTTAATTTTATGTTAGTTAAAATTTGAATATGCCTCTATTGTTTTCTGATTAGAAAAGACATATGATCATTTAAAAAAAAACACACCAAAGGTGTACTATTTGAAACATCTTTACTATTATTTTAAACATCAGGTAATTACTGACAGACTGGGTCAACCCACACAGCACTTATATGTCAGTCTTTGGGCTAAAGCATGGACAGGAAGCTGCCTTGCCTTTGTGGGCCTAGAGCAGGGTGGAGCTTGGGATGGGGACCCAGTACCATGAAGCCCCAAATCTTTTCTGTCTGGCTCTTTACAGAGTGATTTTTGACTCCATGGGGAATCCACAGTGGCAGTGGGAAAGAGCACTGGGAATGTGATAAGTCAGTGGGGAAATGTCCAGATGGATGCTGGCGGCTGGGTGTGGCTTGCACACTAGACAAGTGTGTGAGTGCATGGATGAATGAATGATTTTTTTTTTTTGAGACTTGGTTTTGTGTGACCCAGTTTGACTTCAAACTCACCGTACAGCTGAGGATGATTTGAACGTCTAATCCACAATCTCCACCTCTTGGTGGGATTACAGGTGAGTGCCACCATGACTGGATCTGTGCAGTGCAGGGATGCCACGCAGGGCTCTGTGCATGCTGTGCAAATGCCCTGCCAACTGAGCTGCATCTGAAGCCTGACTGACATGCTGGGGGATAGTGCTGTGTGATCGGGATGGGGTCTGTGTACATCTAGATGTGTGTGGCATGTCCATCTTTTTAAAAAAGTTCTTTTTTTATGTGTATGGGTGTTTTGCCTACATGCATGTGTGTGTGTCACATGCGTACCTGGTACTCCTGGGGGCCAGAAGAGAACATCAGATCTCCTGGGACCTGAGTTACAGATGGTTATGAGTCACAGTTTGGGTACTGAGAATCAAACCCAGGTTCTCTGGTAGAGCAGCCAGTGCTCTTAACTGGCTCTCTCTCTAGCTCTGGACAATTTATCTTCTAAGAGGAAAGCTAGAATTCACAGTGAATTCTTGTTTAAGAAATGACTCTGGAGGGTCCTGGCATGCAATATCATTAAGTATATAGACACATGGAAAGCATTTTCAGGATTCTTCAGAACTTTACAAAGTTAGAGGGTGTCTTTGTCTCCCGAGTTTATTAGATAAGGTTTTCTTTTGGTCTCTGCTCAGAACGAGCATCCAAGCAGTCTACCACACTTCCTATAGAATCCCAAAGGACTTGTTAGAGGGAAGACATGGAAAAGAATTGGAAACCTCATTCCCCCATCAACACTGAAGAGTCACGGCTTCTCGGTTGGGAAGGGACTCCCTCTCCAGCTTGGTGATTTAAGATTCCATTGTTGCATCCGTTTGTTTTACTTGAAGCCAATTCATATTGGTTAAAGAAACCTAAGTACAGCCTGAGAGGAAACGCTGTGAAGGCAGAGGAAGGAAGGCTTTGGGATACGGTAATGGAGATAATAACTTAGGAAAACAGGAGTTCATCTGCATCTGTGATAAAGACAAGATCAAAGTGCAGAGGCCAGAGGGTAGAGGTGGAAGGGAGATCTTGAGCAGGTCAGAGCCCATTCCAAACTGACCTCTGCCATCATCCAAGTACTGTCCAGCTCCTTCACAGTGTGTCAGATGTGATGGGACCGCAGGCCAGAGTGGTGTGGCCTGAGGCCACCAGCCTCAAAGAAGCTTCTTGCCAGTGGGTGGGGTGGGATGATGGGGAGCCAAACCCACCAGATGCTGGTCTCTGATGTATGAATGAAGGCCGAGTTACAGATGGATTTTGCTCAGCCGAGTCCATCTCTCTCCATCCTGTTATCATCCTTTGGCCATTTTGTAGATGTCAGATTTTTGCCAGAAAATATGTTTTATGTTATTTGATTTATTTATTTATTTTGAATTCTCAGTCATTAAACAACTTCCTTTTCCCCTTTGGTCAATGTCAAGGCAAATGCCTGAGCTGGAGTCCATCTTGTCACTCCCTAGGGGGTTCAGATGATATTGGGAGAAGTCCAGGGCAATGCATTGACTGAAGACAAGGAAGCTATTTCCCAATGGGGGAGTGCTTTGGAGAGTGGAAGTGGGGCAGAGAGACAGACAGACAGACATGGGGGTGGGGTGGAGGGGACTGCAGAGGGACTGAGCCCAAATGGCTTATCTGTGTAATCACTTGTTTCTGCTTGTGAGCAAGCTGGGATTTCACTGTTCAAATCAATTTGGCTTCTATGATTTTGCTTGTGAGAGTTCACTAAGTCCTTAGTCATTTGGGTGAGAGATTAAAGATTTCTCCAAAACATGGCAAGGTTTATGATAGGTAGCAGAGAGGCTGAAGGTTAGAAACTCCTTTCTTGACACACCTTTGTACCTGGAATACCAGAGCTTGTGCTGTGTGCTGCCACAAATGCCAGTGAGCAGACAGGGACTGAACTTGTGTTTTACTCAGAAAGTAATCAGTCCGAGAAGACGGTAGATTAATAACTCCAGGATTGGCTTTGCGTGTCATCTTCAGCCAGAAGATTACAGAGGGAGCACAAACAAAGGCCGTCAATCATCCCAAAGTTTAGTCTCGCCCCTCTGGTCAGGTGGTGAGTGCCGGCTGCTAACGCCACCTGTGTTTCCCCTGCACCCTCCTCCTCTGTGCAGCTGTGCACACAGGCTTCCAAGGCTGCGGTCTCGAATTCCTCCTGTGTCACCCGGGCTGGGGTTAATGGAACAACACACCTTTCGTATATGTGCAGTCCTCCTCTTACAATATGAAGTGCGAATGTGTTCTTATACTGCAGAATATGAAGCTGTCCCTCTCTCTTTCCTGTCCCCTGCCATCTCCCACTCAGCAGTAACTTATAAGGTTGGTACTATGTAAAGATGGGCACCTGGCATCTTTTTTTTTTTTTTTAACCAGGTGATCAGCATGCCTCTTGTGTGTGCAAGACTGAGAGTGGGTGTTGTCCACAATTACCATCCACCTTGTTTTTTTACCTTTTTGAGACAGGGTCACTTACTGAACCTGAAACTTGCTGATTCCGCTAGGTTGACTGGCCAACAACCCCTCTGGCTTCTCCTACCTCTAATTCCCCAGCTCTCTGATGAAAGGCTTGTCACACACAGTTTTTTTTCTCTTTATTTTTTCTTTGAAAATTTTGCACCTGTATCTTGATCATATCTACTTTTCATTACCATTCTCGAACTCCCCCGGGGGCCCCCATCACATCTCCCTTCCAACTTCATGCCCTACTTTTATATGTGTTTACTCTTGGAGCCTACTTATTGTTGCTCTCATCCACATGAGTCTGGGGTTGTCCACTGGGGTGTTGGGACCCACCAGTGGCCACACTCTTGAGGAAACCTGACTCTCTCTTCCCCAGCAGCCATCAACTGCCAAGAGCTCCTCAGGGGTGGAGTCTTAGGAGTCCTGCCCCGTTCCTTGCTGGAATTTTAGCTGGCTTGCTCTTGCTCAGATCTTGTGTAGGTAACCAGTGACTATGAATTCCTGTGTGTGACAACTATGTCATGTCCTGAAGGCGGGGCGTCAGGGTCTTCCTCCCCATCCTCCAGTGTAGCACGAATCTTAAAAGTTCTTATTAATGAAATCAAACCCGAGGCCAAGTTATTGGGGTCAATGCTGGTAGATCAGAGAGACAGAACAAGTCACAGCTATCTCACCTCGCCAGATCCTCAGCTGGTCTTGTCTCCTCAGACTGGAGGCCTCTGAGTCCTCATCCAGAATGGGTCTCAGCTGAATTGCTGCTCAAAAGCCTGAATGCTTAACTATGGTGGTATTTTATTTGTACTGAAATGTGATTTTAATTGTATGTTAATAAATAAAGTTGCCCAGGGGTCAGAGCTATTAGAGCCATAGCAAGAGTGTGGCGGTGGTGTCGCACACCTTTAATCCCAGAACTTGGTAGACAGAGCTAGGTAGATCTCTGTGTGCTCAAGGATACAGCCAGCATTGGAGCCACATGCCTTTAATCTCAATCCCAACCATAGAAGACCTGGAAGTCTCTACAGACAGGCAGTGACGAGGCAGTCATGTATTTCGGTTTACAACCAATGAGAAGGCAGAACAGAAAGACTATATAAAGAAAAACACACAGGAAGTGGGGCTCTTTTGGAGAGGTCTCTTGGCTTAAGAGGCTAGCTGCAGGGTAAGGCTCTTAGCTCTGATCTCTTGGCTTTCTTTGCATTGGTTCTGTGTTTCTTATTTAATAAGACGGTTGGTTACATCTACACTTAACCAGCCAAATGCTTAACCAGCCAATTGCTTCTAGTTTCTGGTCCTCACGCCTTATATACCTTTCTGCTTTCTACCACCACTCCCTGGGATTAAAGGCTTACTTTCTGGGATTAAAGGCGTGATGAGTCACCATGCCTGTCTGTATCCTTGAACACATGGATTTCTGCCTCTGGAATGCTAGGATTAAAGGCGTGTGCTACCACTGCCTATCCTTTATGTTTAATATTGTGGCTGCTCTGTCTCTGACCTCAGATAAGTTTATTAGCATGCACAATATTTGGGGGAATACAATACTACACTCCAGCTCTGACATTCTTTTTGTTCTGTCTTCCTTGATGCTCCCTGAGTCCTTGGCAGCAAGGACTGGGGTTTGATACAGATATCCCACCCTCAGCTGGGTAGTCACAGTTCTCAACACTTTGAACAGCAAAGCATCTGCATTAACCACTACCCACCACAATGAGACACTCCTCTGACCAAGCTCAGAAGCAGTGCAAATTCATATCTATAAATAAATATTTAGAAGGTAGTTTAGCAACATTAATGTCTAGAAAATCAACATCAATATGCTCTCCTGTACGGCCTATGACTTTCATAGCCATGGATTTTGACCATGTTTATAGTACTAGAC